TGTCATTGCCGATCTCGTTTTGCTTAATTAATAAAGTGAGGATAGTAACACAATCCGTAAGAATATTCATGTTGAGAGGCAGTCACCACCTAACGACTCACCGGCAGCTTTAACAAGCAAAGTGTTTCTATTAAATAATCAACCAATGGAAAATTACATGGCAGATGCAACAAATTTTGACCAAACAGAACAAAATTTATAACCGTACAGTTTATGTCTGAATGCGACAAAATATGACCCGTTACAAAATTTGTTTTTTTCCGCCAAAAAAGTGCTGATTTAAGGGGTACTGTGACCCGCGCAACTGCGGTGGCTAAAACATGTGTTTACATGTGCAGTTATATGTATGAATCACCCATAAACTTTTAATGGGGACAGATTATCTACCCAGCTAATCATTAGGGTGTGCGTCTGTCTACCGTAGACACACGCACACCCTAATAATTAGCACTGCCTAAGGACTGTCCAAGGTGGGCCGATAAACAATCTGAAGTGCCGACCTCGGCCGGATATGCAGTACGCGGATATCGGGCGACTGCTGGATCAACAGTCTATCGGACAATTAACGATGCGCAGCCATCCGGGGTAGAAGGGCATCAGAAAGGCAAACATTTTTCGCTGGCCCCGTAAAAGAGATGAATCCGTATATACAGAGAGATGAATCCGATGTAAAAGAGATGAATCCGATGAGGTAAATACAGTATGTTATTTATGTACACATGGTAAACCGCACACCGGAAAACCAATAAGTAATGCAGACTTCGGAATTCCCATTGGTATCATGATCAGCGTGTACGGATGCGATGTGGCCATGGCACAAGATCACAACCCCCAAGTACTGTCGGTCTGTGTATTGTGCCGGTTCCAACCACAAAAATATTGTGCAAGTTAGATTATAACTTCTAAAATACCATACACGTTTAGCTTACCTAACAGTACCCAGCAGCCATGCGTAAATGAAAGTAATAATGTACCCATGACCGATCCGCTTCCTTGTTACGTTTCTACAGACAGTAATCAGTACTATAATCAGACTGTAATCTGTACTACTGTAATCAGATAATGCGGCGTAAATTAAAGAACATGAAAATAACCAAACACCTTAAAAATCTCTTTAACCAATACATATAGGTGAATTATGACATAAAAAGTGAAAGCAAAAATGTTCCAACATTCCACAAGCGGCCATGGACGACTAAGAGAAACACCTTAACCAATTTCTCCAGCACATCGTCAATCATCCAAGCCGGTGGGCCATTCCGATTTACGATCCACCCGCAAACGGCCCTTTTCCCTGTAATATTCATCCGTCATCCGGTAATGATACTCATTCTGGCTGCACTCAAAATTGTCGTCATCCCGATATCCAGAACCATCGCATGCAGCCGGCACTTGGTGCTGCAGTGGCAGACAGACGGTCTTCTGTACAAAATCCCCTCCAGCCACTTCCGTCTGCAGTTGCTGCGACGTCGGCACCTCCACCATGATCCACTGGTTAGCCTCGGCATTGTACACCTCGAAGGACATCAGCGCCCGGTTCCGTTTATTATCCCCGTCGACGGGGTCGTTCCGCCGTACGCCCAAATCTTCCCGTCCTTGATGAAGACGCAGTGATGATAGCGCGCCACGTTCAGATCCGCAATACGCTCCGGTTCGCTGTTTGCGTGGCTCAGCGCGACGCGGTAGCAGGCCGCGGTCGCGTTCAGCTCGACTTCCCAGTAGGACTTGGTATTCACACAGCCACCCGTGAAGTACAAATAGCCTTGAAAGACGATGAGGCCGCTGCGATGATGGCTTTTCGCTTGGTCCGCCCAGCTGGTGTGTTTCGTCCACGTGTTGCTGGGGATGTCGTAAAATTCCACCCAACTCTGTGGACGATTCTCGTGCTTCGCCTCAACGGCACCAATCGACAGAAAACAGATTCGGCCTTTAGGAAGCGGATACGCCTGCATTGTGCGACTGCAAGCGAATAAGTCTCATAAGTACTGGCACAGCTGCACTAACTCCCACGATACTAATTCAAATGTGCACTGGATCAGCTACTGTGAAAACTGTATTGGGAAGTCAAGACCGCGGTACCAATATAAAATGCACAGTTCACCTAATGAATTACAGCGCTCCTAGTACCACTAAAGCTCCTTGATATTTGTTAATACCTAATTTTGTTATCTACAGCAGAGTTTCGGCCTCAAAGGAGAGTGCTGGATCAATGAAATAAAAAGACTGGAAAAATTTGTGTAGTTTACGCTCTTCAAACCGATAGGCGAAATATGTGCAATCGACAAAAGCATCTGTGGCATCTTGCGGAGCTCGTTGCAGAATAGATTTACCTCATATCTTCAACATAGGCGTAACAAGGAACAGACCTGCACTTACCGATTGTATCGAAAATTTACAGCCTCGATGTCACGCATGCACGCCCGGCCGTCAGTAATCTCTTCGAACCGTATTCCTTCCTTTCTCAGCTGCTCGACCGTCTCGACTTCCACCCACCGAGTTCCAGCTGGAGCCGGCTGTTCGCTTTCCTCATTCAGAAACTGGATCAGCCGTCGCGGTTTCTGCCCAAACATGTAGTCCGGAATCTGCCCGATATGCCGCAGCTGTCCCGTGGCCACATCGAAACAGTACCACACTTCGCCATACCCACTCTTCGCTCCACACGCCCAGTAGATCTTGCCTTCCACCGCCGCGGCACATATGCATTCGCTTAATGGTGCGTTGACAATCAGAGTGCGTGTACTGCCTGTGGTGCAGTTCACCGCCACCAATTCCTCTTGCGACGAATGCTTCGTAATACCGATGACCAGTTCACGGCCAACGGCCACCGCAAAATAATAGGCTCTGGTTTCGGGCACCCTAGTAACGTTACCCAACGTCGCCTGCAACGGCGAGTCCAGCTTGACCACTTCGTTGCGGATGAAGTCGAAGCGGAGGAGCTGGTCCGGATGGCCTGTGCGCATGTGGTAGAAGATGATCTCTTTCGGAATCGCGCGCTGGAGTGACGCTTCAGCGCCCAGCACACCGCGATGTCGGTCGTCACGAATTCGAGTTAACGCTGCCTGGGTGGAACCAGTAACTGAGGCTATGAGAGAATCAATGTCCAGCTGGTCCCACACGATGCACCGATCAAGCAGCCGGTACATGCGCTCGGTGGCATCGTGCCTGCACCAGCGCACTATCGCCTGCAAACATGAACTGAGTAGACAGTTAGAATTTTTTGTTATCTGCACGCTAGCCATTCCCGTAGCAGTAAGTTCCTTCCAGTAACAAACCATAGCTTAATTACCACAAATGACCCGGTTGGTTTATTGAACATATATATGCCCAGGAATCCAGAAAACGCACCAACCTGATAAACTACAGCCTCGGAACTCGGAGTGTATTCTTCATTGGTCAGCAGGTCGGTGATCTCTTCCATGCTGCATTGGAGGAACGCCTCCGAATCGGTAAACTGTGGGCGGCGAGGATGCTGTTGAACAATTTCCGCAATGGCCAATCTTTCCAAATCGACGAGGCCATCTCGACGAGCCAGACGCCACAGACGGAACAGGTTCTCAGGTCGCTGCGTTATCTCGCGTAAGATTTTCTCGGCCGTTTTCACTGCTTCGTCCATCTGCAGGTATTTGGCGGCCATCCAGACTTTGACAGCGTCTTTGCGGTCCACGGTAAACGTGGTGTCGCACGCATTCAGACTTTCCACCAGTTTGACCAACGTTTCCAGATGGACATTCTCCGGCTGTTGCAGGTCAATACTGGCCGAGGCGCTTTCCCGGAAATCCCCACCCAACATGGCGGCGAAGTACGGTGACCCTTGGATGAGGGCATCCTTGTTCACGGACAACGTTATACCGTTGATTCGAAGTTGGATCTGTATTTGGTTTTCCTGCTGGTGAACATGCGCGGTCTTCAATTTCTTTGCGCAATTTGTATCCATAGTGGCGAAAAAAAGAGAATATGCTACCCAACCAAACGTCGCAGAGAGAAAAAACTGTTCGTTGCGCAAAACTGAGCGACGAAGTAAACTGAAATTGCAATCAAGTAACGCTTAGAATCGGACGCGATGAAATTGACAAGATCAGGCAGGAATATTTCACTGTACATAAAACAGGCTCTCCCGCTGACCTACTGGTACTAATAAAGCAGCACACCAGCTGAGTGGCCTAGCGTGGAAATTTCTCGTTAGCAATGGGTACGCCTACCACAAGGTGCGAGCAGCTGAAACAAAAGAAACACGGCTAACTGGTGACCTTCGTGCAAAGATGGCGCTCATTGGTCAGCGTGGATTTCGGCGGCACGGCCGTGACGGGGCAGCCACCAGCGCGTAGGGTCTCGTATGAGCACAGAATGCGATTACGGGAAAATGCGCCGAGATTTCCTGATCGATGGCACTTAATAATATTATCTCAGGAAGAACGGTTTGTTGATCAATACGATTACGAAAAAAAACGTGTTTTCGCAGTCGGTTTCGGTGCCAAATAGCGCAGTTAATAAATATTACATCCAAAAATTGTTTTGCAAACTCGGAATTTTTTTAAGTTCTATAATTTAAGTTCTATTTAATTTTTTAAGTTCTATGTTGCATTTTTAAATTTCCGTGTGGCATGTCACATTTTAGTCTCTTTAGCATGCTCTTCAATGCCGTTGTTCTACGATTTTTCACTAATACAACTTTTTGGTTCTAGGGAACGGTGGTGAACTGCGAGATTTTTTCTTTTTCTTCAGGCAGCATACATTGTAAAACGCAAAATCTGCATATAAGCACAAGTATTTTGTTATAGATCTAGTTAATAAAGTAAGGTTTTTTCTTAAATCTACAGTTATGTTGCGTTCATGGCAATTTGTCCAAACAGCGAAAAGGTATTTGTTTTAAGCCAATAAGCCGATAAAAAAGCACTACCGTATTCTCCACTTTTACCGTTAATCATTTAACGCGTTTATTCGCTCTGCGCATCCCTTCGACTTACTGCATATTTTACTGTAACCTCTAAAAATTTCGAGCTCGAAGTGCAACAGTTTCTACCATGGAAGTGACGCATATAATTTAATTTTCTTACCATCAAAGCAAAAACAGTAAGTAAAAATCATAGTATGAAGAGTAATAACATACCCGAATCAAAGAGTTTATGCCGGTGTCTTGGTGGTCAGACGCCCGCCAGAACGATGAAAATGCACTAACTGCCAGCGTCCTTCGCGTTTATGCCATACACGGCTCTCCTCAAAAGACTGCGTTGATACAACACCCGATCTGTAAAATGCCATTGAAATGGATTGGAATAAATTACACGTATGGAAATGTTTCCGTTTCTTGAATTCCTCACTTGTCAGTAGTCTGGATCAAACGGATGTAGGCGATCGAGGCCGCATCCTCGCCTAGGAGGTGAACTTGCGGATTCACCAGGGACGTTTGAACAGACTTGGATCCACGCGGTGTATCTGTGCGTAGTGGAAAATCACATTTGTTCATTTTTTCTGGGATTTCCGTATGAATTAGCGAAAAGCCTACGATTATCGAAGTAAAACTGATGGAAATCCATCCCGGTTACAAGATGCCCCAGTGCCTCTGGTTCAAATGCAGTAAGCGAAGGATCACAGAGTTTTCTGCAAAAAAATTTCAGCATCCAGTAGGTAAAGGTATCCACATTGTAACTGGGGAAATAAACAAGAAATAAATGAGCTTTAAATTTCATTCGACTTAGCGTAAAATATAAGCGCTACAAATACGAATTACCGCAAAGAGTACTTACGAATATGATTCGAAATCTCCCGCACTAATAAAATCTAGAAGGGATTGAGTGATGCTTATAATCATCCGCTTTTTTGTCCACCGAAGAATTCTCATCAGCATGTTTTTTTAGTGCAAGATCCATCTTCTAAAGTATTGGATGAAGTTTCTTCACTCCCCGTAACGAACAAACCTGTCAAAAGTAACCGTCTTACCGACAGTAATCAGCACTCAGCAGGGTATAAGGATTAACAAGTATTTTAAAGTACACAAACGGCATCTACCGGATATACGCGGATATCGGGCGATCACTGAACTATCAGCCTATCAGACAATTAACGGTGCGTAACTATCCGGGACAAAGGGCATGAGAAAGTAAACATTTTCGCTAGGTCCGTAAAAGACTAGATGAATCCGGTGGATAATATGTACAAATTCTGTACCGCTGTTCCGTACAATCGGTAAAAGAAGGACTTGGAACTCAAATGCTGTTCAACCCGTATGAGAGCGATGTTTAGCTATAAACGTATCTGTTGTACTGACAACCGAAAGTATATAAGTACCGAAGCTGATGACGGTATACAACTTCACACCACAATAATATCCTGATTTACCTTCCAAAATTTAATAGTATTATCATGCACAGAGTTTGGAATTTTTGTTTACAGCTAAGTGTCACAAAACTGAATGTAATCTATGGTGCAACCAACGCTGTCATAATAATCATAACAGCTTTATTTCTCTCCAACAGTTTGGAATGAACTGTATCGTACCGAATTCGACCTAGGCTCAGCACCTTGTCCTTTTTTTAAATGAGAAAGCAGTTTACAGCATTATCGTACAAACTGCAACGGCAACTGCTATATTAAAGCATTACTATGATAAGCTACCGGCTCATTCCCGAAACCACTGCGTACATAGCACATAAAATCATAACTACCGCTGGAAAACTAAGAGTCCTCAAGGTTACTGCCAGCGTCAGCGATTGTAATCCCTTATTGGTGGTCACCGTGGATCGACACCAGGTATTGTTGTCCTAAATATAGCAGCAGTTGAATCATTTTCGGTGTCTGCTTAAATTCCGATGAGAATCAGCAAGTGCCTATGCAAATGCGCACCCCGAATTATATAATACAATGTCGTTGTTTTCGTTTGAACCGTCTGATTTCCTAGCTAGACAGCGCTGAACCTCTGTCTGAATACTGTTGACCGGTGTCCCGGTATCCATAGGTGTCGCCACCAAATAAAACGCCGTTTCCCCGTTGTTAAAGGTCAGATATTGAAATGGAACTTGGAGACTGGAATCCCGATATACATTTACTCTGCAAAACATTAAGCCGTGAAAATAGCTCAAAGGTAAAACAGAAAACTGCGTACCTGTACGGTACAACGATGGTTTCCGAAATATCCTCAAACGGAAGAACATCCCCGCTGTTAACATCTCCAGCCTGCTCCGGTCGGATCCATTTTCAAATAGCAGCGAATGGGAATGAGGAATTGATCGCGATACTCAATCTGCACTGCGCCGATATCCACTTGTTCACCCGGGCCACCAAGACTTTAGGATAAGGTGTAGTTATCTGTCTAATAGAAAATCTTACAAGTCGCTTTTACGCAGATAATGCACATCGCACAGTACATCCGTGTTGAAGATGCGCGGACAGCGTGTGGCATCAAAGACAAATTGGAAAAAATCCGTGGAACGACTCTGGATGTCGTTTTGTACAGCACGACACTGCTGGTCAGCAGATGACGGCGGAATCATCAGCGATTGGTTGACGACTTGTGCGGTCCATGTGCCGTTGTTCCAACCGGCTAGCTTCTGCTTCACGATGGACACGTTCATGGAGGAGGAGCCACAGTGTGCGGCTATCTGCGGAATTGCTGTTAAATCGACAATACACTTTTAGGGTAGGGAAGATCAAATGCATCCTGCAAATTTATTGTATGGAATACCGCGAGCCACATTAGCTGGTGGCTAAAATCGCTTGTTTACCGATATAATTTGCAAGAACTTATTTAACTCTTCTGTTAAGCAGTGAAGTTTACGGCAAAAAATTAAACTCTTCTGGACACCGAGACAACTAACTATAAACGAAATAAATGACAGAGCAAACTTGCATCGTTCAGTTTGGCATATTAAGGTGCTTCCGTACGAGTCCAACTTTATATACTTTTGTGGTACAACAAAACTAGACTTTTCTCTAGAAATCCTGTTTTCTAACGTGAAAATTCAGTCGTGTTGTGTCGTGAACGCTTTTATGATAACACAATACCTTATCACTGGTTTTTGTATTCCGGATCGCTTGTTGTTTATACGGTATGTTTACCAATACCTTGCGACAGTGTTTGGCGAAAACTCAAATTTCGGTAAACGGGAATGCTGTGTCTCCCGTTTTGAACAAGGAAGTAACTTTTCCTATTTATTTGTATAATTATCCCATACGCTAAGCGAGCTCATTACACTGCGGCTGTGCAAATCAACCCGCGACAGTAAAGTGTGCTTTCCACAGCTTTCCTCACCTTCCAGCGTGATATCAAACTGCTCTGCTCCCGCCAACGGAGGCCCTCACAAACGTGATATTGACCGACACCGCCACCGGGCTGATAATCACAGTGCGCATATCGTTCTGCTGCCCGCAGAAGCGCTCCTCTCTAACCCGCACATCTACCATCCCGGCAGGTTCGATCCGCTGATACTGGAGAATTTGCCGGATGATCACATGGTTGATGCTGTTACACGCTATGTTCGCCGGGGTGTTGGGATATCGTACCAGCGGCTGCTGTCTAAATGCAAGTAGACATACCCTGCACCAGGAACTCCATACTGCACTGGTTGGTCGGGCCGACACGGGAGCGGTGGAAAATACTACGGATCTGCGAGGCCCGTGGGCAGGCGCATACGACGGTGGCGTTGCAGGTGATCTCGCGGATGTCATTGTTGCCAACCAATGGCGGTGCCGGGAGCGGTTCCGGAGTAAGCTCTACGAGATCGATGGTTTAAAGATATATACTCGACGTTGTTTTGCATTCCGGACATCTTCACAATATGAATTCACCGACACACCATAGAGGCGGTACACTGTGCGTGCTGTTCCACTTTAGCAAGTTTGATAAGCTTTATAAAAAATAATTATCAAGTAATCAACTCTTAGAGCTGAGTAGTGAGGTGGATTGTAGAACAACGCGTAGAATAGATGATCTCTGGTGTCCAGTGTGCGAATTTATATTGTGAAAAGTCTGGAATGCGAAAACGTCGTAAGCGTTTCGTTGTGCACTAAAGCTTCCTAACAAGCTTTATTGCATGTAGCCTAAACGAGTATTAAATCTGCTCATTACCGTTGCACGTAAGGCTGATGAGGAATTCCGTCCGCACTGTGTCTGCTGTCTTATTTCCGCAAACTGACACATGGAGATATCGTCAGCATCATCTATCAGCAGCAAAACAAAATACATGTGTTATATGTATTATGTATGTTTTATGTGTTATATATTTCGTTAAGGAGAAATCAGTGAGTGTTTCCCGCATTATACAGTCTGAAGCTCATGATTACTGTGGCCGTGGTCCGTGTGCAATAAGAAAGTCAGAATGTTGATCCAAATTAAATTTTCATAAAAACTTAAAGCGGATCAGCAGTGATCTGTAATCTGTATTATAAGATAATTCACTGACCGGGACAGGAGACAATATCTACCGACGCATAGCCGGGTGATGGGGCGCCGCTGGCGAATCGGATCGACACTACATTATCGAAGCCGAACTTTTGGCACAGCAGCCGTCCCAAACGGCTGGGCGAGCTGCGAATTGTGACATTGGATGAGCACGTTTTCCACCACGTGTTGTGCGTTGGTGCGAAGCCTTCCACTTGACCGGTTCGACGATTGCCTCCGTCCTCCGTTATTGCCGCCTGAGCCCAGCGAACTTGCAGCTAAAAACGTATATGGCACCATTAAGCAGATTGTATTAAAAAAGTGATCTTCATGTACGTTTTTATGCAAAATTTCAAATTTAATGAGGATCGGTTCGATAGTAAGGCTTTTGGTACCCCTCAGTACATTTAAACTTTTTGGCATTTTATTTCACCCATAACTTCCCAACGGAATGTTGCGCGCATGAACGGTTTTCACGCCAGCGTATGCAAATCATTTGGCTACAGAATGTCACAAACATAACAAAACCTGTTTGATAGTGCGCGAAAATGAACGTTTTCGTCCGTGTTCACGAATGTTCGTTATGATGTACCGGCACAGTTTCCTAAACGAAACGTCAACGCGTTAAAATACCGTGAAACACTCACCTGAGAAGAAACACAATGCAGATTAAAAATCAGGAAGATGACAACAGATGCTTGATACATCCACATGATGGCTTTGTTTATGTACAAAATAATTCATTTAAATGGACACAAAAGATCCGGAAATCGTCGCTTAGTGAAAATCTAAAAATTCTGTATGTTATTTCGCACGAGCGCTTAGAAATTACTGCAGTTATCCATATAGTGAAAATTATCGTAGCGGCGCAAGAAAAACTTCAGGTAACCAAGATACTCGGAAATGCCGCACAACGAAGCATTCAGCGTGCTAGCGGAAGTGCGCGTTTCGATTGATAACCGCTACAAGCTGCGTTGTGCTGCTATCGGTTGCCCTTTATCGGAGCTGTTCAACGCTTATCACCAGCTATGCAGTAATGAGAGGAAGTGATTTGTTGCTTTGCAATGCATTCATCCGGCTTCGTATATTGACACTTTGTAATGATAAACATGTACCACGTAATATGCTGCACAACATCGCTAAGCGGACGGTAGTATCGTGGTTTTCCCATAATTATTTCGGTAAATGATAAAGTGTATTGTGTCGAATGTCTCGCAACGTTACTCGTTGGCAGTTGGCACATGAATGTCTGGATATCGCATATTTTTATTACTTCTAAAAGAGCCAATAACAACCGTTGAAGCGGTGTCGCTTAAGCTGCCGCCCTCAGGCGCTGCAAGGAAAGTACTTACTCTTTAAGTCTCCAAAATCAGTTCTCCGCGGCAAGCGCAGTGGCGCACTTTGTAATCTTTCTGTTTGCAGTTTGTACGATATTAAGATACAAAACACATATTTGCGAAGGCTCTTATTTTTCGCACTACAAACTGGTTCATAAGTTTATCGTTTTATTAAATATTTATTTTCAAAAATATTTATTTTTTTAATATTGATTTATTTCTGAATTTTCTGTTAGTTTTGAAAAACGATAAAATTTTTGTGGAATATAATCCAGAATTCCAACGCTAGAATTTAAATAAGTAACACTTCTGCGCTTACAAAAAAATTTAATTTTTTTTATAATATGCAATTTATAATAGCTAAATTGTAATAAGTAGTTAAAATCGGCATTGCATAACAAAATCGGTTGCAAATAAGCAGCAAAACTGCAAAAGGAATTTTTTTAACAGCTGCTTTACTGTTGACAACTTCAGTGCTACGTCAGCGACGTTCACGGTACCGCTTACGCGAGTGGCGGTCGCAAGTATGATGTGGCCCAATGAGATTACTGTAATTCGACTACGAGTACACTGCGCAGTGAAAATAAAAACGATAATGTCGATATTTTTATAATTTTATTATTTTGATTATCAAGATTCAAATTCACACGTTGCTACCTTTTGCTTTTCCTCCCCTGATTTTCTATGGAAAAATTATATTGCAGTCAAGGAATGATTGAGCGCCAATACGTAGGATCGTGAGCTGCTCGGAATCTGGAAACGACTGATTGATTTGGAAACGGAGCTCCGCGATGTGATCAGTGTGGGTTCTTCAACGTGATGTAGCCTGCAGCAACGATCAACGCGCATTCCAATTCCACCGCTGCGTCCCCCTGATACACCATGAGCCTATCGATTCGTCTGCAGTTTCTGACGGGCGGTCGGAGGTGGTGGCGGTGGATGGGACGACGACGGTGGCCGCGTTGTACGATGAACATGTGGCGGCGCACATTAGCCCAGGTACGGGGGACGGTGTGCACAGCGCCACCGCCCCGTGTTACTGCTGGCGTATTTCTGTTTTCTCAGTTTTCTGTTCATTCTTTCGCTGTTTCTGACTTGAGTTTCGTTTGTTTTCTTGTCGATTCGTGTAATCCGTTTTATTAGTTTTCTTGTTTCTGAAATTTTTTAATCTGCTTGGTGTCTTTCTTCGTTTTGTAATTTTTTGTGGTGATCTTAGGGATTTTTCCTTTTTTGGTGTTTTTGATGATTTTAATTTTTATTCTTTGTATGAATTTTCTATCGTTACGTTTGATTGACCGAGTGAGAGCAGGTAGAGATAACAACGTTTACGATTTACGAGTACATTTACCTTAGATTTTTAAGTATTTATGAGATTGATTATGTTGTAAAATTAATTGGTTATTTATTGCTGATTTATGGAGCGGTTTAGGATGGCCGATTTTGTCGCTCCTGTTTCAGGGTTCCTTAAAAAAAGTTCCAAACGATACTTTCCTGTTTGGCGTAGCGATTACGGCCATTTATCGGTGAAAAATTTTTTAATCTTTTTTAATAAATTTTTAAAAAATAATATAACTGTAATAATTATAAAAAAAATAATAATGAATAATTAAATAAAAATTAATGAATAATTACATGGTAATAATACTCGCATTGTTATTGAATTATAATACGGTAACATACGTTTATGATATATCAGCAGATAAAAAATGCAATGAATTTTATAAAAATTCCATGAACTAATATAACTGGTAGCATCGATAAAATAACAACTGAGAAAAAAAAGAAAACATTTTGAAATAAATCATTACTGGCCTGCTCAATGGAATTACGATAATTATGTTAATCATATCACATCACTAATGGTGATTATGTTTGCATTATTTAAATTATTTTTATTGTGTATTTTATTTTACGCCTTGAATTACGTCACTTGAAATTTGTGTTTTCTATGAATTTTTCAGGACAGACCGGTCAGCTTCTCTACATGGGCCGCGTCCTGGCGCCGCCCACGTCCCGTCTGGCCGATCACGGCATCCACGCCGACACCGTGGTAGGTTTCTCCGCCGCCCCCAACCCGCCGCCGACAGCGACCCCGGGGCGGTGGATCCCAACTACGTGCCGCCGGGTCTCGGACACGGTCTGATGGTCATGGGGGGTTTCGCGTTGCTCGCCGGATGGATGTACTTGTTCTACGCCGGCGAGGAGAACGAGAATGATGAATGGGAACTCAACGTCCCGGCCTGTCTGTGCCTGGCCATACTGTCCGTGACCTTTCTGCTCATTGGCAAAGCCGCGCGAATATTCTGAATAATGCGTACTTTGAGATGCTGTAAAATATTTGTTTAAATTGGTCGGAGATTTTATTGACTATTGTGGATTTTATTAGTGATGCGGGAAAAACAACACAAATAAATGGAAGGTGGTGCCGTTGTGGACTGCCGATACTGAAGTACTGCAAATCTCGTAATTATGTCAATAAATTAATTGGCGAAAAACCGCGGCTCAGCTCTGCACCTTCGAAATGTTTTATAACAGATTTAATTTTTGTTTACTAAATTTATTTCTCACTTATGCAGCATGGAGCACAAACTGTTTCGTAACAAGGAGGTAAATAAGTAAAGATAGGTGAATAAATAAATAGGTAGAGAAAGCTCATCTCAGTTCTGGACCTCCGAAATTTTTTATACTTATATATATACATAATTATAACATATTTGATTTTGTAAATTAATAATAAATGAATAGTAAATTCAATGTACAATAAATATTTTTATTTAAACAGCATATTGGCCAGGGCAAATTACATACATTTGTTTGTTTTCCACATTTTACCGCCCTGAATGGGAGTTTTTATGGTTAGCTGTGCAGAAATACGCGCACTAGTATATCTGCACTTTTTTTAAAAATCAGAAAAGTTTTAAAGAAAATTAAAAAAATTGATCAGTATTCTATTTATTAATTTAAAAAAAATCTTTCTTACAACATCTGACAGCAATAATTAAATGTACTGTACTGGATCATCACGTACGCGTGCTTACTATGTATTTGACCTTTCCTTAGCAACGAAACATGTACGTACGACCCAACGATTCATTTGCTAGCAGTCGGAGATATCAAAAAGCAATAATTTAAATCTTTGCTTATTTGTTGCGCGTTGTGTGCCCCGGTGAGCTCGTCGTACTTCATTCACGTTTTTTTCAATTGAGAATACTTGGTATTCCGTTAAAAAACGCCCGTCGGTGGAAAAACAGTGTATACTCCGTGATTATCATGTCGCGTCTGTCGGCTATTATCGGCCTGGTGGCCCTGTGTGTCGTGCTCCTCCTCCAGACGTACCCCTCCGCCGTAGAAGCCGCCGGAACACCGGCACCAGCGGCCGGTGCCACCACCGCAAACGCTACCGGTAAGACAATCAGCTTACGAAATTCATCGTAAGGATAAATTCACCGCATATAATTTTTCAGTTTTCTTTAAAAAAAATTTTCCACCGCATTAAAATTTCCGAGTTGTTGAGGTCTTTAGGATAATTTACATATGCAGATTGAGAGTACCGTGTATAATATGTTACTTATGGTTAGGTTTCTAAGTTTTAGACCAGTTCTTTATTTACACGAATATTTTTAGAATCCATGATTAATCAGATCTGATTAAAATAAAATTTTCGACAAATATAAAATTTATTTCAATTAGATGGTTCGTTCTACACGAATTGTTTTATTTTTTATAGAGCGTTCAAACTAGCGCAAGAGTAAGAATAGATAACTGAATAAAAAATTCTTTTAATTTAATTTTTTGATCGGAATTATCGTGCGTCTTAAAGATGTTTTTTCGTGGGTAAATGTTTTTCAAATTTGGTGCTAAATTTCTACATTAAATGCGCTGGAAGTCTGTATTTCCTTAGCAACTTTGATGGATTTACTGGAATTCTCAACTACTTTTAATAAAGGTCACGACGCAGCCATATAAGCAACTCAAAGCAGAACTTAGAATAATAATATTATTAATAATAATAACATGTGAAATACAGCGAGATAATTCTGTAGTAATTTTTCGTGGGTAAGCAGTTACGTGTTTGAAAAAAATGTGTTTTTACAGCGAGCGGCGCGGAACAGTGTGTATCGTCCGCGGGATTGCTGGCCACCACAGCCTTTCTACTGAAGCAGACCATCGCACTCTGAGGAACAAGGCGGATATGTATAATATAATTCCTTTAGAAAGTGCCTCTCAAAAGAATGCTCGAAGAAATGATGATGTATTCCAGAGTATCTCTGCGCTATTTAAAAAAACGTGAATTTCCGATGTTTGAAAAAAAATGAATCCGTTTCCTCGTGCAGAAGTAAAGAAACATGATTTCGTTTGGTTCACTATATAATATACAATTTACGGCAATCTGTTGTGGAATAAATGCCAGCCAATTTTAAAATACGCCAAAAATATCAGTAAAATACTAGTACATATCCGGAAATCTTTCATTCCATGATTCGTCACCTCTCTATTGTCGTTTAGGCATTATTTAATTACGAAAACTAAGAATTGATCTATATAGAACAAAAACTAAGAATTGATCTATAAAATGGTACCAGTTTGTCATTGTGCAATTAAATACAGCATGACAATCATAATGAATCATTCGTATTTTTCCAATCCAATATTTCCATAAACAATGCATTAAAAGAAACAGAAGATGACAAGACTCACACATTTGAACGACAACACTCATAATTAATGGAATAATTATTGAATATATGTGGCATTATGTACCATATTCCATTAAGAAGGGATATACGTGTAATGATGTAAACAAAATAAAAAGTAACATACTGTAGATGAAACCTAATTTTTTTACATTTAGTCCTTAATACAGATTACGTGTCTTTGACTCTGCTGGTGACTTTGATCTCTTCGGCGGTAATGAAGTTCCATTTGGGCCGCGGCCGATGAATGACGCGTACTTCGCTGTGCACGGCATCGTCCGCCGGCTGCTCTAGTCGTCCTTTCAACCTTTTTTTACAGCACCAGTGCGCTAAAGCGATCATGGCGACCAGGAACAGCTGAAACATGTATGACACAAAATCCCTGGCATTAATTTTACCTTATAGAGATTCCTTGTTTAACTCTTACCGTAGCACCGGCTGACATTCCGCTTAACACCATCGGGGTCATGTATACTATTCATAACAACCAAAAACACTGTAATCACGCATTCAAGATGTGATGTGTACCGCAACGAAAGTTGCAGCAGTATGTCAGAAACAATGGTTCATCCGTAATCATTACTGCCCATCTGCTGATCATCCGTAATCATTACCGAAAATCGGAACGCAGGTGGACGTTGGCGTTTATACTAAAGCGTATGAAAATACTGTACAGTTGCAGGCTTGCAGCTAACCTTAAAATCTGTTTGATTTTTTTTTCCTGAGTCATAGTTTTTAACTTACATTTTTTACATTCTAATATACTCCACTTTATTTTATTAATACTAGAATTTTTTATTGTGATAAAAGTCGGAAATCAACCAGTCGGTCCGTTTTGGCAAAACTTAATAAAAATCAGCAAACGGTGTGTATCAGGAAGATAACAATGCGCTGTTGCGCATGAATGGCTAGCAGTGAACTGAGAGAAGTGCTCGTTTATGTAAATAGGTGGCAGAACGAAATAATATTCTGATACTGTTTTTAGTCTTACACTGTACCTGGTACTTTGGTGGTCCCTTTAGTGCGCCGACTGTATCGCACTGCAAAACCAAAGTATATTACATTCGTTAAATTTTCAGCCCGCACAGGGAATCGTTGTTGTGCTATTATACAGTCATCGTACCGTATGTGGTTGTCGTGACCGAATCATGGCCTCGGAGCTGATAATCAGGTTCTTCTGCAAAGATAACAAGATCGTCATAGTACAGAGCGTTGCTGAGAAGGAATATCTCACCGGGCGTTGTTTCAGTGTCTCTGAAAAGAAAGTGGAACACAGTAAAAATAATTTCTCATAGTTTAGGTTGCGCTAATGCCTTGTTGTACGGCTGGCTTAAGATCTATGGATATCAGTCCTGAAAGTTTTTTTATCTGCGTACGTAAAATAAACGCACCAAGATGGTAATTAGCAAAACTTTGCCTTTACTCAGGCTTTGAGGTCGTTGTGGATG